ATATGGTTTCACAAACCCGCCATCGTGTCTATCACCGTGGCGCCGAGTCTGCTGCGATAAGGGGTCGCGTAAGCCACCGCTGGTGTTCCAGCTCATCCCGACTGTGTAGGGTTCAAATATGTTGTGAAAATATTTAGACATAAATAGACTGACAAAAATGAAAAATACAAAAAGAGTCCTGTTAATTGCATTTGTGTTTTAAAAAAAAAATGTCAACATTAACGGACGTCAACCAATGAATGGGCTTGCTTTGTATTGCAGCAAGTAAGGTCAAGCATTGTAACTACACGGTTGCTACGTGTGAATGGAACGTGGGAAGAATGAGTGGTTCAATAAAGGAGAACTTGACTGACGGTCAATGCAATGTCTTGTAGTTTCACAACATTTAAATTCATATTCATGGTTATTCATATAATAGTGTGTTTGTGTGTGGGGGGGGGGGGGGTGATGCAAGTGGGCAAATGAAGTTTGAAAATGTAGGATGACTAGAATGAGCGAGGGAGCAGTTCATTAAGATGTTCATGACTTACTTTGAAATATACTGATCAATGGAGATTAAAGCAGAGGGCAAAGTGGTTATAATTTACCACCCACAAGCTTTAACTTTGAATCATGGGTGAAATCTATAATCTGTAACACGTACACTTAATGGTGGCATTTGGGTCAAAGTTACCAAATCACATCCCGATTGGGTGTTTTGCCTTGGGCACAATCTCTCCGGCATCGATGGATTGAGAACCATTCTGTGGGAAGCCAACGTGGGATATTCCATGGGTAGACTGGGCCCCGTCATAGTAATGTTGAATTTCCATCACCGAAAAAGGAGACGAGAAGCATCCCATGTTCATTCGAGCAGGGACATGACTTTGACTTGACTTCATCTAAACAATATTATCGTGTGTACGTGCGTGTATATTATGCATTTTATATATGTATATATTGTTTTCATCTGAAATGAACACACCTGAAAGGGCAAAACATTTATTTTCAAAGTATAATAATGAAACCTTGGTGCTGGTGAACCACTTACAGAAGAAAGTGGTGGTGTTTTTTTTTTAAATGTCAAGAGTAAAGCAGGCAAAATGCATTTCAAGAGGCAAATTCAAGGAACATGTTGCAGCATTGACATTATAATGGCCAGCAGTGAATACACAAGAGGTGTTCGAAAATGTTTTTGAAACAAATATATCTCAGTTTTCTTTTTAGAATGGCCTGGCACCTCAGCGGTAGGGCAAGCGGCTCGCACTTGGAAGGTTGCCAGTTCAAATCCTGGTTGAGGATTGACTCAGCCCATCATCCATCGGGGGCAGGGGGGTCAATAAAATTAGTACCACAGCTCAACTGTTTTCTTGTTGTTGTTATTGTTGTTAAGATGTAATTTTCAAAACATTTTTGAAGCTCCCCCTCTTGTTTGATCTGCCATGCATGGAGAAAAAACATCTGTGTCATGGATGCTGTCTTGCTTATCCAGATGCAGGGAACTTGCACAGCCGTAAGAATAAAAGGGGAGAAAATGATGTTAGAGGGGTGGAACAGCAGTCGCAATGGAGAGAGAGAGACGGGTTAGTTTGTATGTCTGTGCGAGGATGTAATGCTTTGCCAGTGTTGGTTCGTGACTTAACACCGCGCTTACACGCTCTTAAAAAAATGTTGAAGACTGGCACAATGTAGTGTTAATGATGCAGTCAGGTAAAAATAAAGTCCATGTATTCCTTTTCAACATCTGTGGAGCTGTCGAGAAGCGAGGGTTCAAGGCCACCGGAGTTGCATGCACGTGCTGTGGTGTCCGTAATGGCCATGACACAATGGCAATGAGATATAATGTGATCAACTACCATGACAATGGGCCGAGAAATTGCGCAATAGATACATTCAAAGCTGCGGTTGTGACAATGGTTAATGTTTCGGTTAAAAATGCGCACTTGAATTTAAAGCCCAATGGAACTGAAGGAGAATTAAAAAAAATCATGCAACGTGATTTTGAATTCGGCCAATTGTTATGTTTGTTACAAAATGTAGTTTGTAAAGTAATACAAATCTGTTTAAAAAAAAACTAACTCGCCAAACGTCCAAACCAAACTTGTCAAATCTCATCCGTGCCTCCGAGCTAAAGCAAATGTGACAAGCTTTGAAGTAATTTCAATTGGTTGAACATTAAATGAAGTTCGGTAATTCATATATCGCTTATGAAAACATGAAAGCAGTGGCCGCCTGTGCAAACAAATTTCACAAACGGCCGCGGAACTCTCTCGCAGTTGTTCGCTTGGAATCGTCGCAAGTGCAAAAGGGATCTTAAAAAATAAGAATCTGAAATTAAAAACGGTGTGCATTGTGCGCAGCATACGTGTACGTGAATTGTGCGGTAACGAGCTCGCGTGTCAAAACGTGTAATGAATTAGAACTTTTATCTTTTGGAGATTAAATAGCGGTATAAAAAAATTATGAAAGTGTATTTTCTGAAAGGGAATAATAATAATAATCAGGCTTCTGACGCAATACGCCTTGGAGGGGCGTGGGTGGGAGATGCATCACGCTGGATCCAACCGAGGGACAGGGCACCAGGGGTGCCTTCATGAGGTAGTAGAGCAAGTAGCATGCTGACCTACGTGGATTTTGTCGGAATGTAAGCATTATTCCTTCATAGGCGTGGGGTTTTTTTTTCATCCTGAAAACTTTGGTTTCGTCCAACTCAACAAGGAAGTGGCCGAGCATCCCGTTACAGAACCCTCCTGAAATGAGTCTCGAGTCTCAGTGAGGCTTTTCTGGGTGGACAGAAACCGATATTAGGCATTAATGTAATAATGTTTTAATTGGGAGTAATGGAGCATGCGTCAGTTTCATAGTTTAAGCATTCGTCAGCAACAGTGCATGTTTGGCAGATTTTGGCTGTTTACGACAGTATCTTGGAATGCTGTAGCAACCAACGACGGGCTTGCTGATGAATGCTTATAAGTGTGAAACGTGGTTTCAGTCCAGCTGTCGTGATCGATCACCTTCCAATGTTAACCCTCGCAATGTGACCACCGAAAAGCTGAGTCACCATTTCCTTCAGTGATGAACACATTTTCATCGTTATTTCTTTTATACACTCACTCCCTCTTGTCAATAAAAGAATAGGGAAAAAAACGAACACATTTATAAAGGGGACACTTTGCACATCGTTTGCAATCAAAAGGGTCAAAAAGTGAGATTCAAGTCTGGTCCGCACTTAGAGATCCTTACGGAGAGACACATCGGGGGAGACCTCGGGGCGACAATCGCCGTCGCTCGCCGGGGGTCAGTGATTCGCCCTCGCCGTGACCTACGGTGGCATCAGCCGGGTGACCCTGTGTGGCGTCACGAGCTCAGAGAGTCGTGATGACTACGAGGAGGGGCTGGACTCGTGTTGCTGTTGCACGAGGGCAATGAAGGAGGACGCTTGGAGACAGCTGCTGCCCCACAATGCCGATTCCAATTATGACATTCAACACGTGCGTCAATAGCACTGTGTGGCAGTTAAAAAAAACGTTTCAGCCAACGGACCTTCTTCATGGGACATCAAGTACAGCCATTGGCCCAAATTTTTGTTTTCCTTTTAAGGCCACGCGGTGTTTTTTGCCGAACACTTTGGGCTTTTCGTTGTCTTCCACTGCCGACGGAGCATCAACACCAAGCGATTTGTTTGAACTCCGATGGTCGTTTCGCTTGGTTTTCTTAAGGATACTGGAACAAAGCTACGTGCCGGCGAATGTCCATTTTCGCCTCAACGTTGGCAATGCGCAGACAGATGTCTCCATTACCAACAGCGTGGTGAAAATATCCACGGTGCCGTGCATTGTGCCGTGCCTCTGGTGACTACAATTCAACTGCAAAGTCGACAGTGTGTGAGTTCGGGCTGAATGTCATCGCCTTGGGTTGGATGGCACTTTGCGACAAGTCAATCGTGGTTCTTCGGTTAATTCTGCACCGCAAAGGGCCACTCCCAATCGATGTTTCAATAGGGGTTAGGTACTCTCCGACTTTAACTCTGGCTCTTCTCAATTTACACCGTGAATATGAACGATCAAGTGTACCGTTTTTGGCGACGTTTTTCTTCCACCACACTCACCGGGTCTGCAGCCGATTTGTGCGGAGCTTTTCGACGATGCTGCCCGTCCTGGCTACCTTCGCTTTACAACAGCGTGGGAAGCGTGCGCTAAAGACACTGTCAAAGATCTCCGCCCTGTATCTCTTTCGTGCGAAAGAACCTTCTGCCAGCAGCGGCAATGAGGAAATAATTTCAGTGGCTGCGCTTTTGACTTTACAATTAAATCACCTTTTGCCACGATGTCACCTCCTGATTAAAAAAAAAACAAAAACCCCTCTTACTAATGTGTGCGTGGCGTGGGAACGTGTCGCACTCAACTCTGATTGGACATTCGACATGACCATGCCTCTGCTATCTCAGCTGTTGTGAGCACCCCTAAACCAACAGCAGAATCAGAATATTTGTTTTTTATACTGGAGGAATCCAATGAGCTTTAGAGCTCTTTCTCACAGATGTCCAATAGGGGCCGAAACTAAATGACGCGGGTTCAGCAGTTGGATGCAACTCGGTTGCATGCAATTCAATCGTTCGTGCGAGGAGAAAAAAAAAACCCTGGCTCTGGGCGGACCGAGAGGGCGGATTGGCCACCCTGCAAAAGCGAATCGCTAAGTACGGACCGTGTGCTTGGAGGTAGTTGTGGCAGGGAAGGCGTAGGGGAGGGGGGGTCTCTTTCCGTCGGACGAAACGCCATGCAACACGCGGAGGAGCTCTCACTCACGGGCAGTGGTGCACGGGACAAGCTTGCGCTGGGTAGGGGAAGAGCCAGCGGTCAAATAGCTGCAGAGAGTGGCCGGGCAGGGCTACACATCGCTGGCGCCAAAGGCATTTTGACTACAACATGCGCAGGGGTGCAGGAGGAGGGCGCATTCATTGCCGCTGCTGATGCTGCTGCTGCTGCCGCTGCTGAAGCACTGATGGTTGCAGCTGCTATTACATCTTGTTGCTGCTGCTGCTGTTGTTGTTGCTGCTGCTGTTGCTGCTGTGAATTTATCTGCTGCAGTTGCTGGCTTAGCACGGATGCCTGTCTGCGTAGGGTCGGGGGAGGGGGTGCTGAGCTGCCTTGAAAGGCATTTACTACGTCCATCTGTAAGGCGTCCGGAGTGGGGGGGGCAGGGAGGGAGGGGGTGGAAGGGGGAGGGAGGAAGGACACAAAGGGGCTCCCCAACACAAGGAGAACGAAGACAGACGGACAGACAAGGCAGGGGGGGACGTGCGTGCGAGGAAAATGAACCAACGCATGTGGAGCGAGAGCGACGCCAACGGAAGAACAGCGGATGGAGACAAAGACGGATGGACATGGGCTCGCATGTGGAGTTAAATAAAAGACATAGAAGGGCGAGACATAGGGCAACCGGCAGGCAGAGGAAAGGCGTTCAGAATAAAGATTGACTTCAGCAGACAAGCACACAGAGAGAGAGAGAGATCGAAAGGTGGAATGAAAGCAGCAGCAGATAATCGAGAAAACGGAAGAGGAATTATGACGACGGCAGTGCAGGTTGCGGTCGGGCATGCCGGGAGAGATCGGGATGGACCAGGGGGTGAGAGTAAAAAACGAAAATGAAAACGGCACACACGGGCAGCGCACACAGACGCACAAGGTCAGGACGAGCTCGACGCTGAGACGTTACATCCGGGCAGAATTAATTCGACAAGAAACGCGCCGGAAACGGTCGAGGGTTGAATGGTGCAGTGCGGCGGTAGGATTTAAGAATTTAACTTCGAGCAAAGAGGGATCTCGTTTTTTTTGTTTTTAAAACTGCCCTCTCCGCTCAACTCCACAACAAACGGCGCGACCGTGAGATTCACGGCTCGTGGCCCTCACGGGAGCGCAACGATGCGGCGGCGGTGGCACCGTCGATCTCTGGATTAAAAGGCGTCAAGTGGCGCGGATCGTGATGCCACTCGGCGGGTGAAGATCCGGCGCACGGGGCCAGCCGTCGTCACGGCCGTCGAGGTGGTGGTGGTGGTGATGGTGAGGCGACGGGGCAAAACTCTGGCTGCCGTGTAAATAAATAAAGGCTCAGCTTTGTTTTTCTTTCTCGTGCATAATCCCCGGGAAAGTGTGTTGTTGGGCGTATGCCGAGACTGCAGGGATTCGCCCAAAGGCTGCGGGCGCAGTGGCTCTCAGTTGCAGACTCTGCAACTCGCTGGGATGGTCGCTGCCTTTGCGGAAACGCTGGACAGCGACACACGTCGCTGCGGTTCGCTGGGCGGCGCGTGGGGGGGGGGGGGAATTCACGAGAATGTTAAAAGAATTGACTCGTTAATCGAAACGCGCGATCCTGATTCGAGACAAGCCATCAAATTGATCCGGTGCCGTATGAGTGTTAAGAGTACAGTACTCAGATGTCTCCTTGACCGCTGCCTGGCGTCTGCTAAGCCACCGTGGTTTAGGAACGGTGAGTTGTAAATCAGCATGTCCGCTAGATCGAATCCCGTTTGAGTTGTCGACTCGTACCACCACCCACTTGGGGCCGATAAAACAATAGGAACCGCTTTTTTAAGAATTCACCGGCGGTGTTGTCCTCTGCGGTGACTGACCCCTTGCCATAAGAACGTCGAATTTCCACAACGCGCGGTGTGCCATGCACTTCTGAGCGGTGAGAAGACAACCTCGGCTTTGACCTAGAGTGTGCCCGCGTGCTACCAACTTCACCGAGCTCCGCCTAGACGTGCGAGTTTGTGCACCATTCAACCCTAAGCCCCGCGATAGCAGCGAGCGAACGTCAACGCATGGGAGACATTTAGCACGCAGCGACAGTAAACGGCGTGGTTAGAAAACGCACACAATGAAACGAGGTGCCCAAGGAGCGGTCAACGCGGCTAACGACCCTGCCGCTAATAAGGAGAACGCATGCAAAGTGCACGCGCGCGTGCATGCAACTCGGCCGTTGTTACGCTGCAAGAGAAAAGTGAATGGTTAAGAGTGACTGTGGGTACCGCGATCTCTGCATTTAATGGGATGCACAATGCGACTACGTTAGCCCTTGTTTACATGACCAGATTTTAGTTTTTGTCGCTCAAACGACGACCCTTTAAGGGGCTCACCGCAATTTCAGTGAAGGCGAAGGGGCAGCCCCCGTTATTGCTTGTTCAAGCCACTGCTACTGGCCCAAGGGCCTCCATTTTTGGTGGAGATCTATAACGCCTCTGGATTTGAACATCAGGCCTCCTCTTGCAAGCTGAGCAGATGTCCTGGAAGGGGTATGATTGCCCACTCTTTTCTCTGCCACAGGCAACGACCTGCCCCATTGACGAAAATCTATTCAGTACCAATTTATACAGAGGCGGGGGTGTGGGGGGGTATTTATGTAACTTAAACTATAAAAAAAATTTTACCAGGTAAGGCCCACTGAGCTATACAGCTCTTTTTCAGAAGCGACCCGGCCGCAAATGATATCTCAACAAAGTGGCTTATCACGTGGAAATGTGTAGTAACCAAATACACGTGTTTGGAAATGTGGCAGGGAAAAACCGGAGGACCCGGGGAAAAATCAACGCGACCACGGGGAGAGAGACACGCAAACTCCAAATATAGAGCAGGCGTCAGCAGGGTCAGGATGGAACCCACGACCTCCCGTATACCAGTCGAGGTCGTTAACATCTCACCACCGTGGCGCCCCATTGTTTTAACTGCCACGCCGGGAGATATGCTTGAACCTCTGGATTGCAAGCCCGGTGGGATAGCCGTGGGGTAACCGTGACACGACGATACCGTTCCAGGCATATGCAGCAAATTGTAACATTCTTCACTTTGGACACTTTAACGGAGATGAGTGACAGAAACAAACTCCATTAGGCTTTTGAAATCAATATAGCCTGATGGAAAAAAATAACCATATAAAGTAAATAAGGGTACGTTAAACACGAAATGGGTGCTGAAGAATACTTTTTAATTGGTCGGTCTAAATCTAGAGTAATGATAGTGTTGATAAAATCGAAATGTTATATCGCTTACTGTGGCAGTCATTTTCCAAAGGCATTAAATACAATTCGATTTGGTGGCATCTAAATGCGATCATAATAATAAAAAAAACCAGTGGCACATGTCTAAAGATAATTTGCATCTTAAACTGCATCGAAAATAAACCGTTGTCATAAGGGCAATTTCTGTATCCAAATTGGGTTAAGGATACATTTTTGATCTATATTCAAATTTGTTTTTTTTTTCATCTCACAGTTTAGGGACTTTTAAATTCCAATTTGATCATGTAAATAAAAAGGGCTAAAGTATTTCATCACTGAAAATAAAATGTGGTTAGCATAAAGCGACAACATCGGTTATATTCACGTTCATCATAGTTTCACACCTAAACACAAAACCGCAGTTCTTCATTAGCGAAAGTTGTCACTGTAAAACTTTACATTCAGAAACTGTATTTTGTTTTCAATTAAAAAGAACCGGCAAGTTATTTAAACATCCAGATAGCTAAGTTAAAACTTCTGGGCATACACATATATGTGAAGTTAAAGGCGCAGCCCTGCAATTGCTTGCTCACACTACTTGCTGGCAGAAGGGGTTCAGCTAGAGGGAGCATCTAAACAACCGCTTCTAGAGGGTATTTGGCCTACTCTTCCACGCTGGTCAGATGCCTTGGAAGAAGTGGGAGTACCCAGACTTGACCCCCACCGCACGAGACCAGCCGATCGACTCACTGCGGTATACTCAGTTAGACAGCTGGGTGGACAGAGGCAAGGATACAGAATAAACTTGCACCATCGGCCAGAGCAAGGTACTAGAATCCAACTGGCCACCTCTGAATGGCAAGTCCAGCGTGCTTAATAATAATTACAGCACTACAGCATCCATAAACACGTCTTTGTTTGTCAATGGGATCCGCAGGCGGAAATTATATGTGCAATGGATGGCCACCGATTTCGCGATAACCTCCAACCTAAAATCCTCAAATCATGCAATTTGGGAATTAAAATGCAAAATTTGGGGCTCAGTTTTTTTTTTTCAAACGCTCGTGTGAACATAAAAAACAGCAGAGCGCATCTTGGCAGAAAGAATGTGCAGCTTCAACAGTGTGAGTCAAAGGTGAACACACAAAACACACATTTAATTAGTCACTGACGCTGGGCCTGTAATGAAGAGAAATTGCAATTGTTAGTTGAATTATTTCATCCCTCTGAGATTAAAAAAAAATCAGGCACGCCTCCTGTGGGCATGAGTTAATCGCCATTCACGCCCACGGCATTAATTACGAGGAATCAGAGCCTCCGTTAACATTCCCCCACCGTTGTTGCACAGCTTCGGAGATGTGAATATCGGGCTGCACATGACCACGTCTGGGCTGATACGCGTCTAATAGCCCCGAGCCCCTGTCTGGAAGGAGACTTTGAAAGGTTCACACCCTTGGTGACCCTCTGCTCTGCTAGCGAGCACGCGGCTTAGGGCAAATGAGGCTTTATCCACACTTTATCCACATCTTGCGAGATGCCCGCCAATTATTAATCAGCTGCCTCAGCGTGTGGGTTTGACGTTGGTTGTTTTGATGCAATGGCCCAGATGGAGGCAACCTGCGGATGACGAAGCGTGGGTGCGGCTTCACGCGCACGCCATCACGATGGATCGCCAAACGATGCGGTCCAGATTTTACGAACCTTCGCCCGCAATTATTTGGGACTTTCGGCAAGGGCTTTGAACCGCGTGGCGCGTGTCAAGAGATGAACGAACGCGCTACAATTCCTCGATTCATCTACTAGAGCTCTCGCGCGAAATGGAAAATTTGCAGAAATGATTTAACGCGACCTCCTGTTTTGCGGCGAACATTTGCAATGGTGTCCGTGGCAGCTCGAATTGGTGCTCGCAAGAAATATTTTATTGAGCAAATAAAAAAAACGGATTAAATTTTTACGTGTGTTCAGAACACATCAATTTTGTTAAGTTAGCAGTGACAGGACAGCTGTAATTTTTTTTTGTATGCAGAGGGTAATTAAATTCCTTATTATTCGAATGAATGTTACCATCTGTTAGAACATAAGCCCCATTCTATTGTTAAACGACGATGGTGATGATGCAATGCTACTGCTGCTGCTGATGATGAAGATCGTAAAGATGATGGCAATTTACGATGGTGATGAGTGCCCCCGCCTGGAATCTAGGGATTTGGAGGCAGCATTGATCACGGAAAGAACATCAGGTGCGTGTAGCACCCAACTCAAAGAGGTGTTAGGTGGCCAGTAGATGAAGTGTGTCGTTGGTCCCCGTCTCTACATCTCACTGAAGTTGGGCATTTCGAATCTCATAAAAATGGTTTGCATGGTCACCACTTGCTATTCGGAGCACGCGCGCAAGTGCGCGCATACACAGCAGCGCACTCAGACAAACATTTCACGAGGGACAGAACTGTTTTCGCTGCTAATACGAAGTTAAACGAGATTGATCGCGTACGAATTAAGCTTTCGTTACGTCACGCTGAACGCACCAACGATGGCATGCGCATCTTTGGCCACTTGCCGGTGTGTCCTGGGGGTTGCGCCACATTAATTCGCGGAGCGAATTTCAGGAACTGTAATCGACGACTCGGTTCCTGAAAGCAGCTCCCGGCGCATGGAGCGAAACGTCGGACATTAGGCCGAGCAGCGTCAAAACCCCCGAAAACACAGCGGAGAGCCACAAAGCGCCACCGCGAAAACCTACATGGCAAAAGAGAATGGGTCAATAATTGTTCAATTGTTCAGTGTTACATTAACTAAAAATATATATTGGGCAAAAAAAATTGTCCATCACATACAACAGTCATGTAAATATTTCAGGGTGGAGGGGGTGGGTGGGAGGGGGGCGATGGGCAGCCACCCATCACCTCTGCACGCACACAAACACAACAGAGAAAGACAAAGCTCCCCCATGTAGCCTATCACAGACTTCTGGAGCAAGTGCTGTTAGCGAGTAGCACCGATGAAGGTCGGCACGGCAGACGAGGCGGTGGGTGGCCAGCATCACGCCCGACCGCCTTCGCCTCCCCAGTGGCGACATTTACACATCGCGGCAGGGACACATTTGAGGCCGAGTCGACCTAGGGGAGGCCAAGGTGTTGGGCCGCGAGCGGGAATCGAACTCGGGTCACGGCCGCGGCTCGTCGCGCAGCACGCTAACCGCTATACTGCTGCTCCCCACACGTGACACAAGTGACACGCACACACACACGTGACACGCACGGACCTGCGTCTGGATGCGGTTGAGCCCCCGGAACCAGAGGATCTGCCCGCGTCGCAGCTCGCGCTCTGCGTGGTCGATCTCGTCCACGTCGGGGGACGTGACGTCTTCGTGCAGCTCGTGCTCGGCCGGCCCGTGCCCGGCCTCCTTCAGGAACTTGAGGTGGCTCGTCGGGATGGTGACGATGAGCTGGGGGGGGGGCGGGGCGTCCCGGGACGGCAAGGGTTAAGTTTGTGCCGGGACGGGTTGACACACGGCTCCGTACCACGCTGCGGGCCAAAAACAGTTCTCTCTCCCCAAACTCGTATAATAGTCATAACCTTGCTCAATTAAAGAAACGTGTTCCACTCTTTATCGATTATAACTCTGATACGAGTGCTGTTTGTTGCTGCCCGCTTCGTATTTTTGGCCTGTGCTCGGTACAAAAACAAAGACCATAACAACGTGAGATAGAATTACAAAGTTACGGTAAAGTGGCATCGCGATAGTTGTCCCATCATGCAATCTAATCTCGCATTGTCAAGAAAACACCGAGCAACAACCCCTCGTGGCAACATCGAATGATCTCTTAGCACAAGTGCACCATCTGCTGGGGAAATTATCGGAACTACAAAATGAGCACAGGAGCATGTGCCAAGTGACCTGTGTGGGGCCAAACATTGCGCACCTTAAAAAAGGCATCGCTTGTTAACTATACAATGCCAGGCTTCGGGGGGGGGGGGTCGCTAAAATAGGTACCACTTTGTGGGGAGATTATTGTCGTGGCATACCTTGCCTTCTCAAACCAACGAAAGCCTCAACAATGAATTGGCCAAACATCTAAATTAACTAAACTAAAACTATTGCTTTACCGACTAAGGCCCACTGAGCTATATGGCTTATTTTCAGAGGCGACCTGGCCACAAATGATAGCTCAGCGAAGTGGCTTATCACGTGGAAATTTATAGCGGCCAAATACTCGATGTAAATGCACGTTGATCACTAAATGTGGATGGAAAACCCGGAGGTCCCAGAGAAAAATGCAACGCGCACATGCAGACTCCAAATATGCAACAGACAGACAACGGAAAACGTCCAGAAATGATTTTTCGACGTCGCTATACCTGTCCCCAGAGCAGCTCCCCAAAGCCCAGGACGACGCACCACAGCCACTGGTCGATGCTGAGACCCGAGCAACTGAAGGGTCTTCCTCCGAACTGGACGATGACAATCTGTCGGAGACACAGCTCGGTGTCACGTGGCCGGACCGACGGTCCGTTATCGTTTAACTTTGCTGTTGCGCCTTCCGCGTCTTTAGCGTGGCCGAGTGAGCTGTGCCCAAGCAGCCAGCGGATGTCGTCCATGATGACGACGTCGTGTCGAAATCCTCCACCTTCGTTTTTTTACTTTGCACAGTTTTAAAGCAATCTGGCCGTCACATTATCTGCGGGGTCATCCACGCAATTATATTCCTCCTATCCGCAGGATATAAAAGGTTCGCGGATAACCCGCAGATGATAGGATCTCGGGCTTTTGCTTGCAGGATGTATGCCACCCCCCCCCCCCCCCCACTGCATTTCTTGTTCTGTGATCGGTGCTTTGTAGCGGGCTCGTGTTTGGTTGAAAAAATAATAACACCGCTTACCGCATTCAACAACAACAACAATCGCCATTTGCAACTAAGTCGCGGTGACGTCACCACGGCGCTTGTGCCAGGCTACGTGCACTTCGAGGCCACGTGGAGGTCACGGGGCAGACCCAGCAGATGCCGCGGGTCGACCGACTGGGATGACTCGGCCGATGCAGCACACGCAGGCGCGCGCGACAGGGCAACTCGGTGGAGCGACCAGACCTGGATTGCGAAGGTGCCCAGGACGATGGAGCAGAAGATGGGGTTTCGGAACACGGCCTCGAAGACGTTGCGCTCGCCGTGAATCTTGCGCGCGTTGATCTCGTTGAAGAGCTGCATGAGCACGAAGGTGTTGAAGATGATGGTGTAGTGCTCCGACGGCGGCGCGTGCAGGGGAACGTTGCGGCCGTTGTCGATGTCGAAGATCTGCTCTCCTGCATGGGGCGCGAGGGTGGGCGGCGGACAGGATGTCGTGGCCGGAAGAAAAAGGGGGAGTTGTCCTCAGGTGTTCAGAACAGCCTTATTGTTGTTATTATCAAAACAGACAGTCCAGTGGTGCCCAGTGTTAACAATCAGACACACGTGTGTCCGATGGCAAGGCTGTATGGCAAGGTGAAGCCCTGCAATTCCTCTCTCCTGCCATTGCTGGCAGATGTAGATAGAAAACTCATTTATCGAGAACTGCTTTTCCTGTGTTTAGTTTGTTGTCCTTCCCCCGCACCTCCGATTAGCGCGGTCGGCTACGTACGGTGAGAAAGAAGTTCAACACACACACATGCCCTAACCACTAACCCATCACTCCCCTACACCCAGATACGACTAAGGAATATTCTCCGTATAGCGTGTACGCAAAGTTGGGGCGAGTGCCGTTTAGCGAGCGCCTACGAGGTCTGTGGCCAGCACCGCACCTGATGAGCGTAACAAAACCGCCATCGAGCACCCAGTGACGGTGAAGTTCTTTCGTGCGGCAGCCCGTTCACATTACTTTAGCCCCGAGAAGGACCTTGAGTACCGATGCTTTTCGGGCCCGGTATACCTTTGTGGGGCATTCGGCCGGCATTTTGACGTAGCAGTGAAGACCGCGAGCAGGCTATCATCTTCTCCCCCAGTAACATTCATTACGCTTCCGACACACATCCATGCATACACACATACGCACAGTCCACGCGCAAAAGAGACCATCCGGGTGGCCGCGGAAATCACTTTACCGCAGAACAAGAGCGTGAAGATGACGGTGAGCTGGTAGACGGTGTGGCCCAGGATGTTCTTCATCATGGTGCGCGAGATGAGCGGCTTGTTGCGCCCGTACGGCCGCCGCAGCAGCAGCGCCTCGGTGGGCGGCTCGGTGGCGAGCGCCAGCGACGCGAACGTGTCCATGATGAGGTTCACCCACAGCATCTGCACGGCCTTGAGCGGGGAGTCCTGGGAGGGCGGCACGTGCGGAGGGGGGGGGGGGGGGTGGACTCGTCGGTGTGTCGACTCGTCAACAGCGGAGGCAGCGGTGACCGTGTGCTCTTCTGGATTATAAGACGCACTGGAAAATAAGACGTGCCCCCCCCCCACCGTGCTACCGGTGTCACGAAACAAAAGGATCCATTTGGATCCCTCGCAGAGCAGCAGCTGCAACCCCTCGTGTTAAGAGAATGGCCCACGCAAGTGGAATATCGAGGAGCTGCTGCTGTTGCCGAGAAATGCCTTCGAGTGACCCCTGGCCCCGCGCACGACAAAGGGCAGCGCTTTCCACAGCTGCCCTGCACGCGAGTGCGAACGTTCGCCGAATGACAGCGAAACCGTGATTTCAATTCTTGGGATTCGAATTTCGCCGCGCGAAGTGCAGAACAAAATAGAATGCGTTGGCCTTTTTTGTTTGTGTGTGTGTATGTATGTTGAACTTCTTTCACGCAGTACATGGCCAACCGTGTGTGCGTGTGCAGTCATTGGTGACCATGTTGAGACCATCGACGGCCCTGCGGTTGAGGACTCAGTTCTCATCACACGCAGCCGCCGGGATTCGGTACCGGGGATCTCGGCGGCGCCAGCTCCGAGCCGCCCGGCCACCTCCCGACCCGAAACTCTTCGTTAACCGTGGATTGGCGCGAAGGGACGCGAGAGCCGGCGACCGATCGAGTTGTGGGCTGGCCGGCAGCTCAGGCTCAGGGCACCTGCGTGATGCAGGCGCCGGTGAAGGCGACAATGACGGCCACCACGTTGACCGTGAGCTGGAACTGCAGGAACTTGGAGATGCTGTCGTAGACGTTGCGCCCCCACATCACCGCCTTGACGATGCTGCTGAAGTTGTCGTCGGTGAGGATGATGTCGGAAGCCTCCTTTGCCACGTCCGTGCCAGCAATGCCCTGAGTGCAATCGCAATGGAGGGGAGATAGGAGATGAGAAGCGATGAGTTGTAGAGATATCAATGTGAGCGTGTGTGCGTTTGCGTCTACCGAGGCAATCGCCCACCGAGCAACAATAGAGGGCGGAGGAGCGACACTCGCAGTGAGCAAAAGCGGCAAGCAGCTAAAAAAACGTGGCGAGTTGGCACGGTGAGGAGCCCAGGTGCTTAATTTACCCCTCATCCCAGTTATGTAACTCATAACACCTGGGTCTCTCCCGTGACCTCCTGCCAGTGAGCCTTCCACACTTCGCGTGGCCTCAAGTGCACGTAGCCTGGCAAAAGTACTGTGGTGACATCCAACGTCACCGGGGGAGAAGACGATAGCCCGATCGCGGTTTTCAGTGCCGGATGAAGCGAGTGCGGGGCCTGTAGCATGCGTTATAAAGGGGCCCTAAATAAATAAAAAAAACACTTAAATATTAAAACACAAATTCTTTACTTGCATAGTCAAGTAATTGTATAATTGCATTTGCTATACAGCCAGATAATACGACATACCCAGTCGTTCATAACAGTTGAGAGCAGTATAGTACTATAGTAATAGAGCAAGTGCAGAATCACTGAACCGGAATTGATAGCTTGAAAGCATTTAGCGCGAGGCCCTTGAAAGTGCGGGGCCAATAGCTACTACATATGTAGCTACTTGTGTAATCCGGCACTGGTGGTCTTCCCTGCGACATAAAATTGCCGGCCGAATTCCCCAACGAAGGAATCCCGGCCTGAAAAGCAACAGTACTCAAGGTCCTTCTCAGAGCAAAAGTAATGTGAACGTGCTGCCATACGAAAGAAGGAGATCCCTGTCACTTGGAGCTCTACGGCGGTTTGTGCTATGATCATCAGGTGCGGTGCTGGTCACAGACCGTGTCGGCGCCCGCCCCAACAGTGTGCACACGCTATACGAGGCATATTCTTTATTCGTATCTGGGTGTAGGGGAGTGTTGGTTTAGTGCTTAAGCTAGAACACTTTTGATACGAATCAGGCCACCTGTGAGTTAGATTTTCGGCCATAGCTAACATCAGTGACGAGTATGTATGCATGTATGTTGAACTTCTTTCGCACCGTACGTAGCCAACCGTGCTAATCGGAGGTGCGGGGGGAAGCACAACAAACTAAACACAAAAAGAGTTTCAAAAGAAATTCGTCTTCTATCTAGATTTAAAAGCGCGCAGCTCCAGTGGCTTCCTAATATCGAAGAGCTTTCCAGACGGCCGCAGAAGCGCATCTGAAAACGTGCGACGCTGCGACCGTCTTTGTTCCGTGACAGCCAAAAGCCGCCGCAAGGATGACCGGGCTTCGCCTGGTGGTTTATGCTCCTTTACGAGATCAGCAGCAACGCATCGTCGCTCATTTGTGGCGAGCACTTTGCGAAGTGATACCTGAACAGGCCCTAGCGCTCCCCTCGCTCCAACTTTGGCGTGCAGTCAGTGCCTGGTGCGGCGTGCCAAGACATCAGGGACTGGGAAGAAAGAGGCGACCCCGAGCGTGAAGCTGGCTACCCCTGCCTCATCGTGTGCCATGCCAACCCTCAGTGGGTGCTCGCCAAACTGAACTTGCCCCGACAGCCGATAGTCAACCCGCACCTCCGACTAGCACGGTTGGCTACGTACGGTGCGAAAGAATCTCAGCCAACGTACGCACGTACAATATCGCGGGATATTTGCGGGTGTCACGCCGAGTATATGTATTCAGACTGGCCGTCCTACAATCCATCCTGGGCAGCTGTTAGTAGCATTGTTGTTGTTGTTGTTGCCACTGTTGTTGTTGTTGTTCAACGTTGATAAGAATACCGCAGGCGTCGGCTGCCAAGTGCACGCCGGGACGTGCCGCTTGGTGCGACGGCACTCACCATCGCGAATCCGACGTCCGCCTTCTTGAGAGCGGGGCCATCGTTGGTTCCGTCGCCTGTCACGGCCACCACCTGTCGCTGTGCGCAGACGGTGCTGTCGATGATCCCTGCACACGCGCACGGGGTCGGCGCACACACAACCAACACGGAGATTCCACCCGTGTCGCCTTGGCAGAGTTGTGGGGCAAGAGCTGTTTGCGAGTAGCGCCTACGAAGGCCGGCGCTGCACACGAGGGGGTGGGTGGCCAGCATCGCGCCCGGCCGCCTTTGTCTCCCCCGTGGCGATGTTTACACGCCGCACCAGGTACTTCACGCATTTGAGGATAAGTGGACCAGGCACATGCACGCGCACAAACGCACGCACACAACACACAGCAGCAACCATTCCCTACAAAGTGGCCGTGACATCACCAACGTGCTTATTGTCAGGCAAGGCGCAATTTGAGGCGACGTAGACTCACGAGCAGGAGGTTTACGGGACAGACCCAGGTATTTATCATTGACCGAGATGACTGGCGTTCTGCTCGTTGTCCTGAGCATCACTCGTCCACCCTTCATTGTTGTTAAGTGGCCGATTCCTCTAACTGCTCAGCAGTCTCCATGGGACAAGTTCTGCAGGATTAGCGGAATGGCCCTTGTGGGCTCCCCATTTGTAAGAAGTGGCACTGCACTGATTGTGACAGCTGTCAGGGCATCTCCCTCTTTGGGGAGCAGGCAAAGCTTCTGATTAGAGGTGCAGTCTGTTCTCGAACGTGGCGATGTTTGCGTTCCTCAAGAATGCCGCGATATGTAAAAATCGCGTCAGAAGTAATCTATAATGGAGGGTGAAGCGCAGTCCGCGGTGACACGTGAGATGCATATGCAGGCTGAACAAAGACTGAGGTGCGTGGGGAGCATCTAGAAGCATCCAGCAGCATCCCGCCTTGTGTGATGATGCTACATCGAGGCAGCTCTAAAACCGCTTATTTCTACCCGCGCGACGTAGTTCTGTTCACTCAATCGCGTTATATCCCATTCGCATCCGCGTTATTAATAATGTGTTTCCGTTATACATTCATCGCATTGTATTCAATTCACGTGATGAAAACAACACGTGGCGTTGTAGCAGAACGGACTGTATTCGACATTCAGGCAAATGCACATACAACGGCAACCGCCATTCGCCACTAAGTGGCGGTTTACGTCACCACGACGCTTGTGCCAGGCTACGTGCACGTTAAGGCCACGTGAAGTGTCGAACGCCCGCTGGCGGGAGGTCACAGTGCAGACCCAGTAGGTGCCATGGGTCGACTGACACATACACACATAGACACAGTCGTACCTTTCACGAGCGTGTGTTTGTCCGTCGGAGAGGATCGTGCGAGGACCCTCAGCTTGGGCCATATCTTGTCTATCCTCTCCTGCTCAATCTGCCAGCACAAGCGCGCGTGATAGTAGGTAGATAAAACTCAGTTTCACTTCGTGCCATTCACACGAGGCCTCACAGCGCTGTACAACGAAAATTCCAGGAAAGACCCTTGACACTAAAACCAAGAGGAAAACCCACCCCTTACGCAGACGAATAAATGTGTTTTCAGACGAGCCCCAAAAAGGTCGACTTGACGGAGCACCCCTCACGGTCTGGGGCCAAGGCGTTCCACAAACGGGGCACCTGACTTTATTTAGCGACTGCTTTTACACGTGACTGTCATACGGTTAGAGCGCCAGCTTAGCGAGAGAATAATGAACTATGCCTGTCAGTGGTTTATGTTGTGTGAGTGGACGTCAGCACACGTAGCCACTGAGCCACGTGACAGCCTCCTCCTCCAGCACGTGCAGGGCAACAACCACAACCACCACAACCACCAGTACCGCCCGGCAGGTCCTGGCGGACTTCACAGCCGCAGACGATGTGAGACGCAGATTTGTCCCCCGACTGGACATCTGTGTAAATATTCTGCACTGACTGCCAGAAAGGGTTAAAGCCTTTTGTTTGTCTCACATTTAACTGAATTTCACGTACAAGGGACCGCATTGGCAGAAGTGCAAGCACATGTTATGAAGAAAAAACTCAACATCTCCATTATTAGCAATTCCTTATGAAGGAAAATTACATCATAAGCCCATTCTTTTGGCATTAGTCCTCTATTCTATTTCGGGGATTTATATAGATAAGTATCTCTCGAGAAAGGCTTATACACAAAGAGTTTATAATATATAATGTTCGGTTATAAGGCAATGTAATGGTGGTAGAAAATCACGTGACGTGATACGGTCCAGACGAACAAAGCCTCTGCATTGCTCTCCAGCCCGCATCGTCCACTCGCCTCTCCCTGCTCGTTGCGAATCCGGCGGTTGAAGTCTTTGCCCTCGAGACACAGGAAGTCCTCTCCCGGGTGCAGGATGCCGCACTTGACCGCGATGGCACGCGCCGTGTTGATATTGTCTCCGGTCACCATCCGCACCGTGATGCCCGCCCGCTGGCACTTGCGGATCGCTTCTGGGACCTGGCGGACGCACGTGCGGGGTGATCGCGAGTACCCACGATGGGACCTGGCGGACGCACGTGCGGGGTGATCGCGAGTACCCACGATGGGACCTGGCGAACGAACGTGCGGGGGTGATCGCGAGTACCCACGATGGGACCTGGCAGACGCACGTGCGGGGGTGATCGCGAGTACCCACGATGCGAAGTGGTTCACGGGGCAAGCCGTGCGAGCAAATGTCACTCTCGAAAAAAAAAAAACGCCGTCGCCATCGGACTGCCTTGTCCACGTCCGAGCGGGTAGCTGTGCAACGAGAGAATTAAACGGGGGGAGGGAGAGGAGGGGGGGGGGGGGGGTCGTAACCACCGATCGCAGTTCGTAAATACGGCACGTGATGGCAGACGTCGCTACGAATCGCTGAGCGGGTCGCCTGAAAGTCGAGTCTGCGAAATCGATTGCGCGACCGATCACTCACGTTTTGGAACCTGGCTTTAGCAGGTGTGCAGTTTTACAAGAACTTCGTTACTCAACACTTTAGATTGAAGGACGGTCAAGCAAGGAATGACTACGAATGAAAGATCAATGTTTGGGTTGTTTTATTGGCTAATGACATGCAGCTGTGAGAGCTCGATATTGGCTTCTTGATAATTAGGTGTAACATTATCATCATTTTCGTCAACATCATCTTTTGTTGTCGTTATCTAAATCCAATCGTGACTGTCATCATCTCAAATACATTCACCGTCATTCATGAATTATCGCGTATGTATGTTAACCATAGTTCATCATTAAATATCCATCCATCAATCATTGTCATCAATACCCATCGTCGACCATCATCATCATTTGGGCCAACATCATCATCGTTAAACATTCGGCAGAATTATCATTCATTAGTCATGAACAACCATCCATAAATATATATATATATTTTTACCGTCATTAATCAATCGCGAGCCATCATTCACCATCAACATTAGCTAATCAGTCATCAACAATAACCCTTTGTTTTTGGGTAAACAATACCAACACCGCTTGCAGAGGCTGCGATTAGTAGGGAAAGAGAGGGGCAGATGCTAAATAACGTTTCTACACGATGTAGCCTTCTCGTTATTTAACGCAATGCTTGCATTGTGATTTATGTCATTTATGTAATGTATGTACATTTAATCAAAGCTGTCGGCTCGCTGTGATTAATTTTATTTCTCAGTCCCTTGAAAATGCTCCACTGCGTTTAATCAAGAGTGGGGGGGGGGGGGATCTGCAAATGCACAATGATGCAATTAGTTTTCCCCCTAATTTCAAGCAAATTCCACCATCTGCGGTGTCACTATTCATAAAGATTTATTTACGACACGACACAGTGTGGACCGCGTTCCACCATCTGCGATTGGAAATTCAATCAGTGCCGCCCCCCCAGATAATGAAATGCCCTCCACGAGCAAGCTTTTGAAAACGGTCGGGGATGAAACGAAATCAATGTTCATTCCCAAGTTTGCCAGTGCAGCAAATTCAAAACTTTCTAACTTATTCTGAGGACCGTTTGATGTTGCGTATCGCTTAAGTATTAAAACAAAGAATGAGACAGATGACGCTGATTATAGCATAGATTACATTTTACATAAAAAAATCGTGAAATCTGTCTGGAAAATCAGAGGGCTGATGGATTTTAAAAAAATTGCGTTATTTAAACGTGGCCAGACAGATTGGCGTAATGTACGCTTTCATCCGTGCTTCTCCGCAGAAACGTACAATGCGATTTGGATGCAAAATTGATTTTTGTGCTGAACATGGCACTAACGTTTAGACAGAGTGCTCGAGACAATATTATCTGGCAACGCAGCATTTTGTTTAACAAGCCTCACTGCTGATGAGACCCATAATGTCGAAAACCAGTCCAGTATTCTTGTTGCTTAAACAAATTCTGCGGATTATTATCCTGGTAGCCCAGTTTGTTGACGGACAAGGTTATTTTTTTTATGCTCATATATTTTTTTTTCTTTGATCATTTGAGACCTCTGGGGATAAGCATTGCAGCTGTACATATCTGTGGCTGTTTTATTTTAATGTTTACTGATCTATATACTTTTAATTAAGTGTGCATTTAATTATATTATTTTAACGGTATGTTTACGTTGTGCTCTGTGACAATGTTACTGCGAAGGGCGTTATATTAAGTAAAGTTTGATTAACTGCATCCTCACGGTACAAATCTTTTGTTTATCCAGCAGTGAATAGAGAATGGCAGACAATGGTGACAGCAATAAATACATCTGACACGTTTAGGGAAATGTGTATACAGTGTAACATGGTGCAGTATCGTGTTTATCCAGTAATGGATACAAAAGCATTGCCACCCGGAGAGTCCGGCATAAATGGCATCTGTTTTTTGGTGGGCATGAATCGATTTTGTACCGAGATCTGATGGTATTGTGTTGAACTTCATTACAGTCCACTGCACAGTTTTGACAGACCTAGGCTGACTGAGAAATGCCTCGGTCGGGTCTGATGAAAACAGGTGGCTACCCGAGTGGATATACTATATCATCGTCATAAAATGTGAAACAAGGTCACCCAGGAGGTATATAGAACATGAGGATTTTTATAAAACATAGATATGTTTTTGTTCTCTCTCTCTCTCCCCCAGTGCTGTGCAAAGGCACATAGTGTAGATTGTTTTACTGCTCGCTGAGTCAGAACAAACTGGTTTGCCATGGGGAAGTGTGAATCAAGGTGTGGCTATTGTGTTTTTGAATAATTGGAACCCAGTGGAGGAAGCTAGTCAATTGACCAGGACCCATTATTAAGGGCGCTAACCCCATTAGATGGTTTAGCGTGCCTGGATAAGTGAAGGCCCCGTGTGATTGGCTAATGCCAGGGCCAGGCATTATCTATAAGGTTGCACAAACTCGTTTAAATCAATCTCTGTGTGCTCGGCTAGCAAGGAGTCCACTGGGGGATAGCCATATGATGCTACAGTAGGCAGATGCTTTGGTTATTCTGCCAATGTGTTAAACAGTTGTAAGTAGGATGTTATGGTAACGGTAAAGAGCTAAAATACTCTTTAAGGGCTCCAACTCCAAAAACTAAACCATTGTGGTTGAATGAGCGAGTGGACGTTGAATTTATTTAGCACCATACGTAGCCAACCGTGGTAATCGGGGGAAGGACAACAGACTAAAGACAAAAATGTGTTTAAAATGTAAGTGATTTAAAAGTGCATAGCTCCGGTGGCTTCCTAACATTGAAAGGAAGAGCGTTTCAGACGGCCGCAGAACCGCATCTGAAAGTGCGCGATGCGGTGACCAACTTTAAACCTCTCTCCTTAGGATTGCGAACTTTCAATACGAAGCTATTCCGAGAGATGTATTTTTTTTCCAACATGACGTCATGTACGTTCATGAGCGCACATACGCGTGCGTCCATTATAGACCACGTAATGGTCGCGCTGCCCATGACATGAAATAGGTGGTGGTGAATGGGTAGTTGAGTGGCCAGGTGGGTGTATCTAAAACAAGAATTAGGAATACTATACAGATTTTTTTTCAGAAGCAACCTGGCCACAAATAATAGCTTGACGAAGTTGCTGATCATGTGGACATTTATAGCAGCCAAATACTATAAAGGCATGTTTCCAAATATGGAGGGTAAAACCGGAGGACCCGGAGACAAATCCACGCGATTACGAAGAACACACGCAAACTCAAAATATACAGGCATCGGGGTCTGGTGTGAACCCACGTCCTCCTGTATACATCTCACCACCATGGCGCCCCAATTATGCAATTCATCAACGCTGACAAAAGTAACCGAATGGCTAAATCACTCAGAAGTGAAACCCTAATACCCGATTCTCTGGCTTTATGCGGTGGCAGTAGATGCGTTCTAAAAAAAAGTAGCTCACAAAGAGAACCTGCACGGGACAGCTGCCTGCCGAGTAGCGCGTGTACGCTACACAATGTTGTCCCACGTCCCACCGCGCAGCCGCGTACGAGTGAATTCGAACCGCGTAGAGCGAATTTTGAGTGGCAAAAAGTTAGCCGCATACACAGGGTGCTTCAAAAAATGTTAACACTTATATGGGACTATCGTTTTTGATAATACGCTGCAACACGATAACAAATGTAATGTTAATAGCTTCAGAAAGTCAAAGAGTCTCCACTTGTTCGCCATCGTTGTCAACACGTGGCCTGGAATCTTCTCCAGGTGATCTCCAGAGCCCGGAGGGGCACATTTCTTGCGGTGTTGTTGCAAATTCTCCGCAGTGTTAACATTGTTTTGAAGCGCCCTGTACGGCGCGTGAAACCGCGCAAACCGAACCGGAGTTTAACCTGCAGTTAGTTGCTTCACCTTAGAATAATAATAAGAAGAAGAAGACCCAAATAGAAGACCCAAATGAAGCGGTCAGGGAGGGGGGGGGGGGGAGGTGGCCGTCCTTGTCTCAAAAGTGTCCGGGGTATGCCGCCGCCACCGCCGCCGTCGAGGGCCGGCAACGGGTGGCGAACCGGGCTGACGTGAGGGCGCGGGCGGTTCACCTCGGGCCGCACTGGGTCCTCGATTCCAACGACGGTGATGCAGGTGAGGTCTGTGACGATGTTGGCCTCGTCCTCCCAGTCGGGCTCGCCGGAGCTCCCCGCCGGGAAGTCGCGGTAGGCGAGGCAGATTGTGCGCAAGCCGTCGCACGCCATGGGCTCGATCACCTTGTGCACCATCTCGTCGCGGTCGCGTGGCTTGAAGGCGCGCGCCTTGCCAGACGCGTCCAGGATGTGCGAGCACCTGCGTGTGCGTTCGTGCGCGTGTGTGTTTTGTGTGTTGTTTGGTGTGTGCGTGTGTGTGTGGTTTGAGTGGAGTTTCCGTAGTGGGTTTTATGTACGCGTGATGTTCACATGTACGTGCGTGAATTTTGTGCGTGGTTTTTTTACGTGTTTGTGTCATTTTTTTGTGGGTTTTGCATCCGTGTTAATTTTCACGTGTGTGATTTTGTGTATATATTGACGTGTGTGTGTGTTTGTGTGTGGTTGCGTGTGTGTGTGTTAAATTCGTGTGTGTAAGTTCACGTGTGTGTTGTAATTGTGTGTGCGCATTGGCATGTGTTTGTGGTGTACAAGTTTACGAGTGTTCACAAGATTGTTTGCAGTGCGTTTGCGTGATTTCGTGTATTTTTGTGTGATTTCATGCGTGTGTAATTCCAAGTGGGATTATAGTTTTGCATGAGTTTTAGCGTGTGTGTGTTTTGTGTAATTATGTGTGTTTACGTGAGTGTTTGCATGTTGGTGTCATTTGTGTTTGGGTTTTATGTTCGTGGTGGAATACAAATTTGCTTTGAATGTGTGTGTTTTGTGTTTGCAGTTTATGTACATTTGCATATGTGCGTTTTTGTGTGTATAGTTTATGTTTGTGGCTGAATGCAAGTTTAATTGTATTTGGTGTTTGCAATGTGGTAGTTGTTTGCATGTGTTGGTGATTGAATAGTGCATGGGATTCGTGTATGTGTTAAAGCAATTTAGGTGTGCACAATGAATTGTATTTTGAGTTTGTGGATCAATTTATGTTTGCAGATCATTTATATTTGATTTTTTTTACGTTTGAATTGAATGCACATTTACGTTTGCAAATGCGTCGATAATTGCGTTATATTTTGTTTGTTGAATTGTTGTTTGGGAATGTGTTGGCAAGTTGTGTTTGTTTTGTGTTGTTTGTGTTGAGTTTCCATCGGGAGTGAAGAGACGCGCTTTGTGCGAGTGTGCAGAAGGGCCCAAAACATCACGTTCACCATTATAATTTGTCCCAAACCCTCCACGCGCAAGACCAAGCGACGCACCAAATTGGCAGACCGGTGTCCGTTTTTTGCCGCGCCATGGTGGCTGTGCAGGCAGGGGTTGGTGGATCACACAAACCTCGTGGATTTGGCATCGATGTCTCCATATCGTGGCTTCCCACGAGAATGTGGTACAGCAAATTGATTCCCCTCCATCCCTTCCCATCCGTTGTGGGATGCTGTTGCCCCCTCGCATGCATGGGTTTTTTTTCGGGTACTCTAGGTTCCTTTCACATGTATAGACGCTAAATAATTAGCCGAAAACATTTATATGTAGAGGACAACATATCTTGAAGGGGGGCGGGGGGGGGGAGGGAATTTGGCACCGAAAGAAGGAATGAGCTACACGAAGAAGACATTGTTATTGATTTCCTGAATTATTGTAAAGCCACGAATACCCTCTGGAGCAGGGTTACTACAAAGCTCCCTCTCGTAGAGGCCCTTCTGCTTAATGTGGTTGTGAAAATGGTTCAACTTGTCGGCAAGCTGAAAGAACAACAACAAATCATGATGCTAATAATAATAATAGGCGGGTTAAACGCTTGTAACAGTGACAATTTAATTAGTTTGCCTCTGTCGGGCGGCGGAGGTATTCATGACGAGCAAAATAACATTTGGTCAAAGTATTAATTTGGCACGACCCAAGAAAAATATATTGCGAACTAATACAGCTCACTTAACGGTAGTGAAATCATCGTTGGTGACATTTGCAACTAAACGGGACCGTGGCAATTGGTGTACGAGGCCTGGGAGCAAAAAAATAGCCACTTTTTCGCCCGCCACTCTGAGTGGCTCCTGCCACTCCGCCCCCACCCCCACCCCCCATCTGCTAATGACCACCAGTTCCCCGGTGCCCCGCTTCCCATACTTCTTGAGGACGATCTCCGACGCCCCCTTGGTGTAGAGGCGGAAGCCTCCGCCCGGCTCGCTGAGCACCGTGCTCATGGACTTGCGCGTCGAGTTGAAGGTGTAGACCTTGTAGAGGGCCTCCTCGGGGAGCCGGTCGCGCACCGCCTGGTAGCTCCTCTTCATATCCAGCACGAGGCCCAGCAGCGAGCACTCCGTCTTGTTGCCCACTTGCTTGGGGAGGCCGCCCGCCTTGTCGGGCGGCTGCGTGGTGCCCGTCGACGAGACAAACGAATGGGGTAATTGATTAAGGAGTGTATGTGCGAGAGGTGCGGGGGTGGTGGGGGGGGAAGGTGATATAATGAAATGGATTGATGGCCACATGAAGTACGTATGGCATTAGACCGGCGGTAGTTTTGTCAGGTCAAAAATACCGTCAAATAGGGGGCTCGACAGTATGGCCAGCTAGCACGGGCCCTTGCAACAGCAGCGGTGCGAGTAAGTAATTGCAGGGCTGCGTTATTGCATTTTACACAATAGTGCAGTTCATTGTCGACTGGACTGAGACGATCAAGTCACTTGCAGGCAGCTTCCTGGGTTGGAACCCAGGATCTCGGTGGTGCCAGGTCTGTGATAGCTCTGAACCACCTCATCAAACGTTATATTTTAAGGGGTTGGATATCATGAGGCGTCAGGAGAGGCTAGGAAGCTAAGACACTATGAACGGAGGTCGGCTCCAACTACAAAGAATAATATTTCTTTATGCAACGTTTGTAAAGGACGGGCCGCAATTGAATTACCAACGGACGAACAGGCGAGCAGTAATTGCTTATTTTTAAAGGTCTCTGTGTTAAAAGTTAAAGAGATTACTGGCACTTTTATATTATTATTTTTGTGACACGCTAATTAAAAATTGAAATGTATAAATCTCTCATGACATTTTTTAATCTTTGTTAATTTATAAGGAAGGCACGTTTTTGCGGTGCAGGAAAATTAAACATCACGTGCACTTTTCGACGGCATCTCCCAGGAGCCCTTGCGATGGCCATCTTGCCTGAGAGCAGATCACCCCAAATGCTCCCAATCTCATCACACCTTGGAAGCTAAGCAAGAGTTGAGCCTGGTTTGTAGTTAGATCCATGACGACAATGGTTACCACAATGTCGCGACAAGATCCACAACAATCGTATTGTCCATGATAATCTTGTCGTCAATTTTGCAATGATTGAGCATGTCTGCTGGGGCGTATGCCTGCGGTGGCTGGGTACGCCTGTAATGCAACACTGCGGAGGCAAGGGTTGGTGGACCACACAAACATTGTGAAACGCTCCACCCATGGACATCGAGGTGCCATACCCTGGCACGCCAGGAGAAGGTGGTACAGCAACTGTGGAATAATATTCATCTGTTCCATCTGCATGGGATTCAGTGTTGCTCTCTCGCATGCGTGGGTTTTCTCCCAGGTGTTACGCTTTCCTCTCGTATGGATATATAAAACTAAATTATTTTAAAACATCTTAATATATAGAGGACCACAGAGCATGGGCAATTGTTGGCATCGGCTCAGCACATGGCTGCTACCTTCTCGCTCGTCTGTGGAACCTCCTTGTGCTTCCGTTGATAATAAATAATATATTTTGATTTAAAGCTTTCGTGACTGCAGGGATTCATATTCGTGGTTATTTCGGTAAAGTCACGTAGAAGGGAAACAAAACAATAAAAATATAAAACAATAAAATTCTCATGACGTTTCGACTGCAACACAAGCAATCATCATCAGGTGTGAAAACCACAAGAAAATTTGAAAAAAGTGGCGGTTATTTTTAACGTTAGCACCACGGAGAGCGATTTGACAGTTTGTTCAGATGGACGAGTCCATCTATGTTCGGAAAACAGGAGCGGGGAGACGAAAAATAATGGATGCGGTCTGAAAGCCACCTTAAGCGTGATCAATTAAATAAGACCCGAAATGGTTTATCAAATCCTTCCAACGATTGCTAAGCCAGAATCCATCTTCTCGGTTGAAATTGTCTCTGTGTTTGTATATGTGGATAGCCTCATGAACGAATCTCTCATGGTAGCCAGATGACTTGCAAATAACCTCTGTCTTGGAGAAGTAAATGTCATGTGAACCTAATGAATTATAACAGTGATCTGCCACGGCCATTTTTTTCAAATTTTCTTGTTGTGGTTTTCACACCTGATGATGATTGCTTGTGTTGCAGTCGAAACATCGTGAAAATTGTATTGTTTTATATTTTTATTGTTTTGTTTCCCTTCTACGTGACTTTACCGAAAGAACCAAGAAAAATAATATATTGTTGCTAGATACAATCCGTACGATTGACGCTATCTAAAAAGAAACATGATTATTATTCCCTTGCGTATCGTTTCTCGTTTAATTGTTTAATATTTCATTTCCTGGCACAACGTTTATAAAACAACATTTTAAGTGGGAAAAAATGCATACATTCAATTACTTCGTTGCAATTTCTGTTAATGTAACTGACGAAGTTTCGAGCACATACCATAATAATCGTCTGGGTTGGCCAAATATATTTTTAGTGGAGACCCTTCTGCCACCAGTGGAGGGAGCCGGTTAATAACTGGGTCGCATCTTTACCATTTATCTTTACTGCACATAAGCCGACACAAACCAGCAGCTCAGAAAATCATAGCACTTGAGCTCATAGGGCCTAAACAATATCTGCTCGTTTAACTACGTCTCAAACCGTGAACAAACAAACCAAAAAGTAAAATAAACTTGCCATATATTGCGGAACGAACATTTCTCAATGACGTTATAAGATGGAAAGCGCCACAAATGCCCAGCAGTGTTACATTTTCTGTGCATATTATCGCTACTTGGGAGGAACCAACAGTCTCCTTGAGTGCCTGTCATGTTAGATAAATATAAATACAGTTCACGCCTCCTCCCCGTCTTTGTTTCTCCACACATATATATTTTTAAATACTGCACTTTTTACACGTCCCATTGTCCGCATGGGCTCCTGGAAGCACATCTCATCAACGGCGTTGGATCTTTCCAAGCGCACTCCATACCGCTTTTGACAACAGTAATTATATCAGCAGAGTCCAGCTTCCTTGAACCCATACCGGTGAACTGCCCGATGTGTATAGGCGAGGAGCCCTGTGTGTAAGAAATTCATCCTCGCAGTTGGCCTGGCCTCTGTACTAAAATGGCAACACTGTAAACATAATTGTATCGTTTGTGGAATAAGCTGTTGTTTTTGGTCGCTTGCCGAACCTGCTGGTATCTGTTTTAGGTTTGTACACGAGACAAATACAAAGAGCCCCCATATAGCCTAAGCATACATTTGGGGTAAGTGCTGCTAGCGAGCTGCTATGAAGGCAAGCACGGCACACAAAGGGATGCGTGACCAGCACCACGCTCGGCCGCCTTTATCTCCCCAGTGGTGATGTTTACGCATCGCACGGGGTACTCATTTGAGCCCGAGTTGACCCAGGCGAGCCCCATGACCGCTTGAGATCATCGTTAGTGGTGCTGCCCCTGAGCGGGAATCGAATTCGGGTGACCCGGTTCGTGGCGCACGCGCTACGCTGCTGCTGCTCCCCACTGTGGGCTCGAACACCACCAGCACACGCAGACACATACACACGCGCGCACACACACACGCACACACACACACGCACACGCGCCTGCGATTACGCGGCCAATGAATAATGTGCAAATTAACAAGTGGCAATGCTGCAATCTTTAGACGATCCATAAATCACGCAAAAAAATGCAATCCATAACACGGTGTCAAGGAAGATAAATTGTGTTCGCCATAACGACATTTTACATTTGAATTACTCTGTCTGTTAGGCTGCATGTAGAAGTGCCTGCAATAAGAAGGCCACCCACTATGAATGGGTGTGGGTCTGCCCTCTCCTATGCTGGCCCCCATAGTGAAACTTCTACCGGACACACAGACCTCACCGCATGCGAGTCCTATGTTGAACTTCTTTTGCAACGTACGTAGCCAACCGCGCTATTTGGAGGTGCGATCCCGTAATCTTCAGCTTGTGTCGGGCCTGGTTCGTGCTTGGACGGGCGGCTACCCAGGGCTGACCAGGCAAGTGGCTGGCGAGGGCTGTGAGTGACCGCCAGATGGCAGTACACGTGCATCCCAGGAAAGCCACCGGTGTGCTGTGCTATTAACGAATTTGGCCACGTTCCGTTCACGTGACAACGCTTACTAGTTGGCTGTGTCGGGTGGTGGTGGGTTTTAACGACACACATTTACGCGATCTAACCCAAAAAAACTCTATTATGGATGGTATTGGTCGCGAAAGCCTACCACGTGCTAAACTGTTAAAAATAAGTTGGTGTGTTTGAGCAGGACGCATCGCGATAAGGGACGATGGGAAATGGTCGAGACTAATAATGGGGTGCCAGCCAAGGTATGGAACGCGTTCGCGAGATCGTCCACAAAGGAGATGGAGCGATGGGATCAGTAACAAGTGCAGCTGCCAGATGGATTGTTGCATCACAGGATCGTGAGTGGTTGCGGGTGCTTACGGATACCTTCATCCAGCAGTGGACGGGTCATGGCTGACGATGGTGTTGTTCTATGTAATTGGGTCACATGACCCCTGCATATTCAATAACTCAGACTCAATCCATTGAGCGGATGGAAACCACTGCTGTGGTCCAGAGATGGATTTGGCCCACGCGCTTTATTGACTGTGGATTTAATCCATCTGTGCAAGAGCTTTGAGTGTCATCATCAGCACGGCTGGTCTCTGGGTGCTCTGGTTTACTCCCACATTCAGAGCACTCAAAGCATGTCAATGCAGGATCCCACCAGAAATAAATAAATACAAATATTAAGACTCCGTGAGGCTTTCTTGGGAAAATTATTAATGTACAGTATATGTTAACGTATAATCTGTGCTGGCTCTCTCTGCTTGGATGTCTGTATATGTGTCTGTGATCTGTACTCTATCACTCTTAACCTATAATTTAGCAATCTTTGAAATAACGTAATCAGCCATGCGTTAATTTTGTTTTGACCGACCCTCTGTGCTGCATTATATTGTTTCCAAATTTTACTAAATCTTGTTCAATTTGATGTGCTTCTCCATCTCTCTGTGTTTCCTCTCTCTCTTAAATTTAGCTCTTCTATACCTGATGATGATTGCTTGCGTTGCAATCGAAACGTCGTATGCTATTATGCAATTTTATTTCATTATTATTTCTTATTTCTACGTGACTTTACCGAAAAAAACAAAGAGTA